AGTGCTATTAGCAGAGAGTATTGGAAGAATCAGAATGGAAGTTAAGGAAGATTTTGCGGAATAGCAGTGAAATGGGTTAATCAATTTCACTGCTGTTCCGCAAAACCACACAAACGCAAACAAAGGGTCCGGTGCCATCTCAAGAGATTGTCACCGAGCTCTAAAACCACGAAGTGAAGAAGCGGCGCAGGACAAGCAAAGATAGTCTGGCTAGGTGTATGTCAGAACATCCGTGTCGCAGCACTACGCGTGAAATAGTAAGGCATAGTTATGTCCGCTGTGGATGAAGGGGCGTGCCAGACGAGGTCTGTCACGGTGCTAAACTCATTCTTCGAAAGTTGCTGAAGCAGCTGAACGACTACGACTGGTGGGAAACGGGTTCGGCGCGGCGCCAAACACATCCTGCCTGACACGCCCCTTCATCCGTGTCGAACACCTTTCATTGGTTGTTTCAATACGCTGCACAACTGCCACGTTGAGTCAAGTGGGTCCTAGTGGGAATCAACGCACGTGCCTGTGAACGCGCCACACCATCTGCAGTGCCTCCTTATCGAGATTTCGATAACGGACGAAATGCTGCTGGTGCCCACCTGTCGATTCAATCCTACCTGCCTGAAGTACGTCTGAGAGAACTGGAATCGGCTCAGGCCTGAGGAGCAGAGGAGAGAGAGGATGCCTAGAGTTTCTCGATGAAAACGAGTAATCGCGCAAAGTTTAGTGCAAGTGGAGATCAGATCACATTCGCGATAAGGCATTGTTCACAGCTTGCGACCATGACGAAACGGCGGTTCGGCGAAAAGCATTAAATACGTATCGATCGGAGAATCGCCAACCGCCGCGGTTCAGCGGTTGGGCGAAAAGCAATAGATGCGTATCGATTTCGCAGGCTCCGCCCTAGAGAAAAACGCCAGGGTGGTCGGGCTAGCGTTTTTCGCCCAACCGCCAATCGATATGTATCAAAAGCGTTTCGTTCTATAGAAACGCTGAGCCGCAGATTGTGAACAATGCCTAACTGGTGGAGCAGAGCGATTACCGAATGGATTCGATGGAAGCTCGAGGGGACACAGGTCAACCACGGGTTTTCGATGATCAGACTTCTTCTGTCACTCTTTAGCAAAAGAATGAACGGTATGCTGCCCCTCGAGTGAAGGGAATGCAGTCGACCATCCTTGCTCGCAGGAGGGACGAATGGAGAAGTTGCTGACGTCCACTCGTTAGTTTAGATGATCAACAGGATGACATGTTATACATAACATAGGCTGGTGAACCAAAAAATTCTCAAATCGACCGCTTCATAAATGAACTCCACGTTTTGGGCCAGCCCGAGCTTCCTAGGGCAGTCTCCTTGGGACTACGATAGCGACGAAACCTCTGCGATTGCGGACCTGTCCACAGGAACAACCAAAAATCGTAATAGAGAAAAATCTATAGATTGGACTCACTTCTTCAAAAACTCCTGTGAAAACGGGCTTCTACTAATCCCTTGCGCTAACTTGCCATCGGGGCGCTTCTCATAGACCAAACGTGCATCGCACTGCTTGAGAATTAGTGGCATAGAACGATAAGTGACAATCATCTTTCCAGGGACAGACCAGTCCTGAAATGTTTACGTTTACATCTAGAACAGGTAGGGCTAAGGCATTGTGCTCGGACTATTACTTCCAAGCACATATAAATGACAAGAGCATAAAGTTTGAGCTTCGCTCCTCTATATACACGGGAAGGATTTTCCCTGTTAACCGAGAATGCCAATTCAACCAATTGACATCAATATAAGAGATAAATCGCCGATAGTTCTCCGCGTAGAACAATATGAGTAGAACGTTTGCAGCGGTTTTCAATGCCAACAGCTACAGTTCTCATCATTGCGGACTGTCGGAGGCGGCTGTGCAACGCGGGGGAGCAACCAATGATGGAAACGCCGCAGGTGCGAGCCGCTGATTGCGACCCGACAATTGCGGTGATGTAAAGTGTAACAAGTCAGCATGTTCGAGTAATGG